ATTTCTGAGTTAGTCCGATATCCTTGAATTTATTTCTGCCAGAATAACAAGAGAGAATTTTCCACTATTACTTGGACTGTACTAAGTGTGGAGTGATTTTTTTTTTTTTTTTTTTTTTTTTTTTTGCTCCTAGCTGACTGAGACTTTTTCTTTCTTATAAGACGAGGTGTAAGGGACGCTGGACCCGGTTTCCAGCCATATACACAGTGGTTTAGACATTGAGGGACGCTGGACCCATTTTCCAGCTACATACACTCTGGTTTAGTCATTAAGGGACGCTGGAGCCGCTTTCCAGCACTTCTTGGAAGGATCCCTTTGATCCTCTGGCCTTCCAGCAGAAGAGATATCAGCTGCACTAGGCCAGAATTTTCAGTTTGAGCCGAATCTGCGTAAAGGCCCCAGTGGTTACTCCGGGTAGAATTGTGAGGTCCCCGGCCTCAGTTATTATTGATTATTGAATTGGACCAAAAAAAAAATAAAAAAAAATTGACCCCGACATTTATTTTGGGGCCTGCGGCACTTTTTGCCCTCTTTGGGGCCAAATGAATACAAAGGTTTTGTCGCGGTTTTTTTATAAGTTCTCCCTAGAAACAAGCCTGAGTTCGAACTGTCATGGAATCAGACCCGTAAACCAACCATGGATAATAATATCATACTATCTCAATGACGATATCTCAAGGCCGTTGCCTGTTTTAAGAACATTGAACGCCTTCCTCGGCCATAAATACATCTTTTTTTTTCTTTTTCTGTTCAGTCCAGAAATACATCTGTGATTACCTTCTTTTTACTTTGTTAATCAATATTTATTAATTCATTATTAAGTATCGCGCTTGATTGGGCCGATAGACCGTCACAGTGGGATCTATGGCCTTATTCTTCTCAAATTCAAATCCTACGGCTCCCCGCAGTTCCTCTCCCTAGGCTTGACCACGTGGCGAATTTTCATCGTATCATCCCAACTCAACTGTCTGCAACGGAGCCCGAATGTAAATCAGGCTCACTGCTAAACACAATAACGTCCAACTGTTGGCGAACAGGGAATGCGCTCGAACTCCGATGCAAGAAGAAGAATGGATAAATCTTACACGCCTCCCCCTTTAAACACACATGATGATCAAAAATTGATCACGGGGCGATTTTTCATCGTGTCATCCCAAAATAACTGTCTACAACGGACCCGGCGTGTAAATCTGGCTCACTGTAAACACAATGACAAGCAACTGTTGGTGAACAGGTAATGCGCTCGAACTCTGCTGCAATGAGAAGAATACAACAAATTTTTGCGGCCTGCCCCTTCGAATACACATATACTGATCATAACTTAAAAGTCTGCGAACAACCAAAGCATGCTGTCCCAATCTCTAATTTATGCTCGATGAATTATCCCTAAACCTGTGTATTTTATTCTCGATGCGTTCTACCTGCTGGCAATTAGGCTCGCCAAATTTCCAGCAACGAGTGTGTGAGTTCTGAACGTAATTTCCCGGTGATCTTGGTGCCGCCATATCCAAACTCAAACCAATTTCGCGGTGATCTTGGTGCCGCCATATCTAAACTCAAATCAATTGTTTGCTTGTCAGCAGCACCAGGAAAACGAGAAATCGATATCCAACTGAAACGAAAGCAAAGGTAATTTACTCCCCAACGGCGGCAAGAAGAAAAGAATTCAAAGAATCAGAGATGAAAGAAGATGATGTCAGACTCTCAACTACATCCGAAGAACTCCAGCCTCAAGCACCGGGACAAATTCATAACTCTGACGACCTATTTTGGGTTAGTTCTGATAGCGGACACGTTACGGGCTACCCCCTGTAGAAACAAGGAGGGGGAAAAAAAAAGAGGGAAAAATCAATAATCCCCCCCTCAACAAATTCTTCGTTAACCTCAGGGTTGGGTAAAGGGAGCTTAACCCAAGGGTACGAAATACGCCAGCCGTGATTAACACTATCCGTTCTAAGACTAGGCAGTGCTTCCACGAAGTAAAATATGTCCCAAAACGTAAAAAAACAAACAAATGAAAGCAAGTAATGAATGGTTAACAGCCTAAGTAATGGAAGCCGTAACGGACAACCAATCACCGACAGACGGGGAAAGTAAATTTTAATGGCAACCTATTTACTTTATGGGCTCGACTAACCCGAGCTCCCGCCAGTGAGAACTCCTGTCACAGGGAACCATATTATCTTACAACACAGAACTCATCAATCTCGCGGGGTGGTAGACCAGATAGTGCCATGGTAATCTCGAATGCCGCACAGATGATTAATTGGACGGCTGATTAGAATTGAGATTGATCTGGAGCTTACCTGCCTCACCCACGATACGCTGCGCGCCGAGGCTCTTGATGATAGGAGTTCTTTCTGGGCAAACGATCACACCGCATTCGTCGTTGTAACTGACCGTCAGGAATTCCCCAAAAGCAAGTAAACGCGTACAAAATGTACGACCTGCAAAAGAACACAAACGAACAGGCCAACTTCTTATTCTATCTAAGAACCTCCTCTCTCTCTCTCTCTCTCTCTCTCTCTCTCTCTCTCTCTCTCTCTCTCTCTCTCTCTCTCTCTCTCTCTCTCTCTCTCTCTCTCTCTC